ACCCCTCCTCCATACACCCGTGCATCCCCCATTCTTAAATAAGTTGGATGCATAATTAGGGCACAGCATGACACCAATTCACAATAGGTCGCTTTTAAGGACAAGTGGGCAACCCAGATTTCGGGAGTTTCCAAAATCTTGACCTACACCAAAAGTGGGCATTGCCCTACCTATAGGAGAAGTTTGGTTTCATTGGTGTGTATATTTGTTTGGTTATAGAGAAAAACTATCCTTGTCTTTTACGAGTAAAGAAACTGAACAAGGGGTAAAAACGTTACTTTCGATTTTCTCAGAACGGCTTTTTTCGGGACAGCCCCCATTGTGCTTAAAAGCGACCAATTTCCCCACAGAGAGTAGCGACCCAGGGCGTGTGTGTTTACGTCACGTAAGTTCCGAATAGAGGGATGGCTAAAACAGCACCCGGACAGGGATGGCTAAAACAGCACCCGGACATGGGTGGCTGGTGCCTCTATAAATATATCATTGACGGTCAGGTAGAGGGCAGGAGAAAGCTTCATGGGATTCTAATAGAGAGGGAAAAGTTCATCAATATGTTCGTTGTTTTTTTTTTTTGTGGTTTTTTAAAAAAGAAACGAACACTAACTGTCTTTCAGTTAAACCCTTGCATTTTTCGTATATCTCTCTAGTGTCATGTCTCTCGATCAAATGGCAGTACTATGCAAACCTTGTGTTGACTTCCATTTGTGTAGTTTTACGACAACAGGTTTTTCTGTAGAATGTCTTAGTTCATGAGTGTTGTTTCCTACTGTAGAATGGTTCACAGGAAAAACATGTTGTGTAGTTTTTGGAGGCAGAAAGTAGAACATACCATCAGTTGCTGTTCAAATGTTCCCGGCCCGAAAGCAAGATTTTTCAGGAGAGAGAAAACGCTGTCATTCTTTACAAATTGTACGTCCTTGATGCATTTGTTCTTGCATTTATTACAATAAGGAATAGGAATGTCCTCATTATGTATTATTTCTTGAGCACATGAAATCAGTTCCCCAGATTTTGAAACTACAATTGGTCGCTTTTAAGGATGACAACCAGGCTAACCCAGATTTCGGGGGTTTCCAGAAATCTTGACCTACACCAAAAGTGGGTATTGCCCTACCTGTAGGAGACGTTTGGTTTCATTGGTGTGTATATTTGTTTGGTTATAGAGAAAACTCTCCTTGCCTTTTAAAGAAACTGAACAAGGGGCAAAATCGTTTCCTTCGATTTTCTTAAAACAGCATTTTTTGGGATAGTCCCCTTGTGCTTAAAAGCGACCAATTATAACTTTTTTTTTAAATGTCCAAATGTTGGGCTGGTACGTCTGAACAGTAGAGCTCAGAGTCCATGGTAAACCGTTTGTGACGCATCGTGGGGAAATCAGGTGCTTGTCAGGATAATGAAGTAGGAGAAAACTTCATTTTTCTTCCCATTTGGCAATTTTTATGGAATAATTTATTTTTTTTGTGCTCGACACCTTGTATGTTCATTCAAAAACACTTTTATGTCTGGAAAAAAAACCCGTTGATTTAAGGCACAGGCAAATGTAAATTTGCAGTTTCCAAGGACTCTTTGGCTATGAAAATCACCATACTTTTGCAGCCATTTTTTCGCTAATTTTACTTCTGAAACCAGGTGTGACCCCACCCCCTTCAACCGCGAATATCTCGACTTCCATTCAAGATAAATGGATATTTGTTTTCATCGAAAACAAGGCAAATGTACAATCTATAAGTATAAGATGATACCAATAACCCCATAACGATGCTCACAAACTGACGAGCTCTACCCATAAAATGTTCACCTGAATTCGTATTATTTACTTTAAACTGAAAAAAAAACCATTCTCAAAAATTCTCCTTTCCTACTTTATTTTCCTGCAACAATGATGATGACAATGATGATGATGACGATGATGATGATGATGATGATGATGATGATGATGATGATGATGATGATGATGA